CGTCTGCATCGGTTGAGTGTACGGTCTTGTCTAGATGCAAGTCTTCCAGAAATTCAGCATTATCAATCTTTGCATGACATTCAGCAGGCCCGGGACAGCCTTGCGCTTCAGCAATGTGGATGAGCCAAAGATGTTTTTTGCAAGTTATCTGCAACTGTGGCAGAGACCACCACCCACACCTGCAGGCCCAGGTCTCTCTCATCAGAGTACATGGTTTGCTCATTGAAGAGCGCCGTGCGCCTGAAAGCTTTGATGCTCTCACAGGTCTCAAGTTCAGCCCTCCACAAGGCTTGGTGCCTGGCCACGGACTCTTCCCGCAAGGCCTTCCCTGCATTCTTTGTTCCATGCCCCTGCCCATGTTCTGGCTGGTTGGGAGGGAGGACCGCACACATTGAAATGTCTGCCCGTTGGGATTCGTATCCCGGAGCCCCGTTTTGCATCAAGCAGCCTGAGAGAAAAGGTTGCAGCCCCTGACAAGGGTTATGAGCCCAAAGCCTTGAGGCCGCGCCGCGCCAATGGATGCGGGCATGAGGCGGCGGAGGTCGCAGAGCATGGACCCGGGAGTCTTGGTGGCCGAGCCGGACGGCGAGGTGCAAGAAGAAGGACACCCGGGAGATGCTGGGAGGGTGGAGGTAAATCCTTTCTGGAGCTCGCGGGCGGTGGGGGAGGCGGAGTTGAACGCCATGAGGCCTGCTGGGTTGCCCAAGGTCCCGGACACCGTAAGCGCGCAGAAGGTCAGGAAGGAGACGGACGATGAGGCGGGTGCCGGAGACGCTCCTGCGGGAGATCTTCCAGGGCGAGGAGTTGGTAGCCACCCGGAAGCTGCTGGGAGAACCAGGAATGAGGAGTTCTGGAGTGAAGTCAAAAGGGACTTGATCGCGGACCTGGAGAATGCTGGAGCGGCGGAGGTAGCCAACGGTGGAGAACAGGATCCGCGGGAAGGAAGGCGAGGTCAACCAGCTCTACTACATGGTTATGGTAGGGAGCCGCATCAAGGAGCTGATCCGCTGCCGGGTGATGGACGTGGATCGTCAGCAGATGGCCCGGGGAGACCTGGGTTGATGCGGGGGAGATCAATGGAAAGAGAAGGAGGAGCTCGGAATCTGGAGGTGGGTCCCCCACGAGCCCAACGGCCAGGTGAGGAACGGGGAGATGGACCAGTTCCGAGGCCGAGTGATGCGAGGGATTGGCGTGGTGGTGGAGGTCGGGAACCACGGGAACCACTACGTGAGCAGCGACCCCTACTACCAGGTGAAGGTCAAGTTCATCGGCAAGATCAGTTTGGACTGGAATGGGATGTAGCGGTGAGGAGGTCTGGAATCCTTGGCGCCGGAGGACAGAAGGAGGCGGAAACGGATGGATCCGGTAGAGACGCATCAAGGAGGTGGACCTGGGCCGGACACGGGTTGGACCTGGACTGGGTCTGGAGTGATGAACATAAGATGTGGGTTCCTGAACGAGCCCAACGTGCAGACCAAGATGATGAACTGATCGGGGAGATGGACTAATTGGCCGGGCAACACCGGCACAGCATGATGCCTATGTAAAAGCGCGCGAGTGGATCGATGCCTCGATCGCCATGATCAAGCCGGGTGTCTCCACGGACAAGGTGGCCGAGGTCTGGCCGAAAGCGGAAGAATTCGGCTTTCCGAACGAAGATGCTGCCTTCGGCCTGCAATTCGGTCACGGCCTGGGTTTGGCCTTGCACGAACGTCCGATCATCTCCCGGGCCATTTCCCTTGATCATCCGATGGAAATCAAGACCGGCATGGTGTTCGCGCTGGAAACCTACTGCCCTGCCGCCGACGGCTATTCTGCTGCCCGTATCGAAGAAGAAGTGGTCGTGACCGACCTGGGTGTCGAAGTCATCAGCCTGTTCCCGGCAGAGGAACTCCCGATCGCGAACCGGTACTGACTTCCCCAACTTGCCCGGCCCTCCAGGGGCCGGGTCCTTTTCTAGGGACAAAGACATGAGTGCTGCCAAGAACAGGCACAACACGGAAGATTACCTGCAGATGTACAGGCAAATGGTTCGTATCCGCGCCTTTGAAGACAATGCGAACCAGTTGTATCTCTCCGCCAGGATGCCCGGCCTGACCCATATGTATTCCGGGCAGGAAGCGGTGGCCGTCGGCATTTGCGAAGCCTTGACCGATGAGGATCGCATCACATCGACACACCGCGGGCACGGTCATTGCGTTGCCAAGGGCGCAGACCTCAAGACGATGTTCTGCGAATTGCTGGGCAAGGCAGAAGGCTACTGCCGCGGCAAGGGCGGATCGATGCACATTGCAGACCAGTCCCATGGAAATCTCGGCGCCAACGCCATCGTGGGCGGATCCATGGGCATTGCCACGGGCGCTGCGCTTTCGGCCAAACGTTTGGGCAGGGAGTTTGTGACGGTCTGCTTCTTCGGGGACGGCGCCACTGCCCAGGGTCTCTGGTACGAAGTGATGAACATGGCTGCACTCTGGCGGCTGCCGGTCATTTATGCGTGTGAAAACAATGGCTACAGCGAATACACCCGAACCGAGGAAATCGCGGCGGGTTCGCTGATCGCGCGTGCGCAGGCATTCGGTATCGAAGCCTTTCAGGTCGACGGACAGGACGTGCTTGCGGTGAACGAGCTGACACAACAGCTCGTCGGTCGTTGCCGAAAGGGAGAAGGCCCGTTCTTCATCGAGCTGGACACCTACCGCTATCACGGTCACCACGTTGGAGACATCAATCGCGACTACTACCGCTCCAGGGACGAGGAAGCCGAATGGAAGAAGCTCCGCGATCCGATCACGAATTTCGGCAAATGGCTGATCGACCAGAAGATCATGTCCGCAGACGAGTTGGTGGCGATCGACGAAGAAATAAGCGCTGACGCACAGGCAGCGGTCCAATACGCGCTGGACGCACCTTATCCCGACGTCAACGAGGTCGACATGCATGTCTTTTCCGGTGTCGACCACGCACTGGAATATACAGGAGGAGCGCACCGATGACCCGCGAAATCACTCTCTCCAAAGCGGTCAACGAGGCGATCGCTGAAGAAATGCGTCGCGACGCATCTGTCATCCTGCTTGGCGAAGATGTTGCCGAAGCCGGAACGCCATTCAAGGTCCTTTCGGGACTGGTGGAGGAATTCGGGACCGACAGGGTCATCGACACGCCGATATCAGAGCCGGGTTTCATGGGCATTGCTGTCGGAGCCGCCATGACGGGCTTGCGGCCGGTGGTCGATCTCATGTTCGGAGATTTTTTGTATCTGGTCATGGATCAACTCTGCAATCAGGCGGCAAAGACCCACTACATGTCAGGTGGCAAGCTGACGGTTCCCCTTGTTCTCAGGACGAATATGGGTGCGACACGGCGCTCCGCAGCTCAGCACAGCCAATCCCTGCAGGCTCTGGTCGCGCACATTCCCGGACTGAAAGTCGCCATGCCGTCGTCGGCCTATGAGGCCAAGGGCCTGCTGAAAACGGCCATTCGGGACGACAATCCGGTCGTGATCTTCGAAGACAAGCTCATGTACCAGGACAAGGCGCCCGTGCCGGAAGAAGAATACCTTATCCCTTTCGGAAAGGCGCATATCAAACGCGAAGGTCGTGATGTGACGCTGGTCGCAACGTCCTCAATGGTGCAGGTTGCGGAAGAAGCTGCCGAAGCGCTGGCCGGGGACGGGATCAGCGCCGAGGTCATAGATCCTCGGACGATCGTTCCACTGGATGAACAAACGATCCTGAATTCGGTCCGAAAGACCTCCCGCGCCATCGTGATCGATGAGGGTCATCAAAGTTACGGTGTGACAGCGGAAATCGCTGCACGGATCGGAGAAAAGGCTTTCTATCATCTGGACGCCCCGGTGATCCGGATGGGCGCAATGGATGTACCGGTTCCCTTCTCGCCTGCCCTTGAGGATCTGACGGTGCCCAATGCCGCCGGCGTTGCCGAGAACGCACGCAGGATCTGCCGCGGAGAGTTGATCCATGCCGCATGAGGTCATCATGCCTGCCCTCGGCATGGCCCAGGACACCGGGCTCCTGGTCGGCTGGCTCAAGCAACCCGGTGAAGCGGTAAACGCCGATGATGTTCTCTTCGAGGTCGAAACCGACAAGAGCACCATGGAGGTCAATGCCGGTTTCGACGGTTTTATCGCCAAACTTCTGGCTGAAGCCGGCCAGGAAGTGCCCGTCGGCGAAACCATTGCCGTCATTAGCGCAGAACAACCCGACCTAACGGCGGTAGAGGAAGAAAGTTCCGGGCCGATTGTTCCTGACAAGGCTGCCGGCAACACGCGCGTCGAGGAAGCACCGGGGGCATCAGACGGTCTCAAATCCGCGAGGTTGCCGGAAAAGGCACCAATCGCCATTCCGCGAAGCGAGGGGAAAATTCTGGCTTCGCCCAAGGCGCGGCGGCTCGCCGGAGAAATGGATCTGGACCTCAATCGCCTTGTCGAGGCAGGCCATGTTCAACCCTTCCACGTGAAGGACCTGGAAACGCTGAAAACGCTGCCGCCAACCGGAACCGCGGCATCGGGCCCCCACACGGTACGGCGCCTCGTTGCCGAAACCGGGGACGACGACGCCTTCGCCGATTTTGCAGGTTGGGCGGCAACCACCGGGGCCTGTCAGGATCAAGGGGCACTGCTTGCAGGATTTGCCGCGCTAAGTCTGGGACGTTTGCCGGCAAACGTTGCTGTCGATCGTGCAGGTGACCGGACGATCTATGCGGTTCCCTCGACCTGGCTGGGTCAGGTCGCCGCTGCGGAGAGTAGCAAGCCCTTCGATCTTCATGTGCGCGACTTGCGTTTCACCAGGATCAGCTCCGTTGAACTTGGCGCTGAGGATTGCCCGACAATCAGCATTTCACGCGCGGGACGCGGCCTGCGCATGACACTTGAAACTGCGGGTCATCGTCTCACCGCAGAAGAGGCTGTGAACCTGCTTTCCAATTTCGCGGGACGGATGGAGCAACCGCTCCGCCACCTGCTTTGACCCGTGGGGTGCATCATGGACTTTACCGACCTTTATATCGATGGCGCCTGGCGACAGGGAGCAAGGGGCGAGCGTTTCGACGTCATCAATCCGGCAACCGAAGGCGTGCTTGCGTCCGTTGCATCGGCGGACATCGAGGATGCAGACCTCGCCTTGGACGCAGCCGAGCAGGCCATGAGGGACTGGGCGGCCAGGACACCACGGCAGCGTTCTGAAGTCCTGCGCAAGGCCTGGGAGCTGATGACCGCGCGCCTGGACGACTTTGCGCGCCTGATCACTCTTGAAAACGGCAAGGCACGTGCGGATGCCATGGGCGAAGCGGCCTATGCAGCGGAGTTTTTCCGCTGGTTTGCCGAGGAAGCCGTCCGCGCAGATGGCCTGATCACGACTGCCCCGGCGTCCGGGGCACGCATCATCGTGCAGCACAAACCCGCCGGTCTGGCTGTTCTGGTAACACCTTGGAACTATCCGGCCGCAATGGGCACCCGGAAAATCGCACCTGCCCTCGCCGCCGGATGCGCGGTCATCATCAAGCCGGCCTCGGAAACCCCGCTTACAATGCTTGCATTGATGCCGTTGCTGGAGGAGGCAGGCGTGCCCCCCGGGCTGGTCAATGTCCTGCCGTCAAAGCGCACGGGTGCGCTGGTCGATCACATGTTGCATGACCCGCGTGTGCGCGTCGTATCCTTCACCGGATCGACGGCGGTTGGACGCAAGCTGCTTCATACTGCGGCCGACCAGGTTCTCAAGCCGGCAATGGAACTCGGAGGAAACGCGCCGCTGATCGTCTTCGACGATGCCGATCTTGACGTTGCCCTGGAAGGCGCAATGCTCGCCAAGATGCGCAATCTGGGAGAAGCCTGCACCGCGGCCAACCGCATCTATCTGCATGAGGCAATCGCAGAAGAATTCACCCGCCGGATGGCAGAAGCCATGGGAAAATTGAAAGTCGGTGACGGCACGGATCCTTCCGTCGATGTCGGGCCACTCGTCAATGCTGAAACACGCGACAAGGTTGCAGACTTTGTCGCGGACGCCGTGGCAAAGGGTGCGCGCCTCGAAGTCGGGGGCCAGGCTCCCGACGGCAAAGGCTTCTTCTATATGCCGACCGTGCTTTCCAATGTGCCCGAGACGGCCGAGTGCGTTCATGACGAAATCTTCGGCCCTGTGGCCGCTCTCCAGACATTTTCTGACGAAGACGATGTCATTCAGCGTGCAAACGACACGGAGTATGGTCTGGTGGCATATGTATTCACCGGGGACATGAAACGCGGTCTCAAGGTTTGCGAACGCCTCGACTACGGCATGGTCGGTCTCAATCGAGGCCTGGTTTCGGACCCGGCTGCCCCGTTCGGCGGCACCAAGCAATCCGGCCTCGGACGCGAAGGCGGGCATGAAGGCATGCTGGAATTCATGGAAACCCAGTACATTTCTGCTGGCTGGTAGGGGGCAATATGTCTGACATCATCGCCCCACCCTCCGTGAGGGCGCTCGCGCGCCAAAAGGGGATCGATATCGAAGCGCTGGCCAGGGACATCGGCCGAACGTCCATCGCACGCGAGGATCTGGAAGCAGATGGTGCAGCTCCGGCCGCGACGCAGTTTGCGGCCTCCGACAGGTCCTACTGGGACGTTGACCATTCTCAATATGGACCTGTGCGGCAAGAACCAATGAGCCGATTTGCCCAGGTAGCCGCCCGGAATATGGCGGCAGCACAGGCGCTCATTCCGGCCGTGACCCATCACGACCGGGCTGATGTCTCCGTGATAGAGGAATTCCGGAAGGACCTGAAATCCGAAGCCAGGGATCGCGGGCTCAAGCTGACGGCACTTTCCTTTTACGCGAAGGCGCTTGCCAGGGCCTTGCGTGAATTTCCCTGGTTCAACGCATCCCTGAGCTCCGACGGCAAGACCCTTTTTTTGAAGGAATATGTTCACATCGGAATTGCGGTCGATACGAACCATGGTCTCATGGTGCCGGTCCTGCGGGATGTTGACAGCAAGGGTCTCTGGCAGATCGCGCGCGAGATTACCGATCTTGCCGCAAGGTCTCAGGAGCGGAAGGTCCGTCCGGACGAAATGGGCGGAGCCTCAATGACAATCACCAACCTGGGAGGCATCGGCGGCACCGCTTTCACTCCAATCGTCAATCCGCCGGAAGTCGCTATTCTTGGCATCACCCGAACCGAAATCGCCCCTGTCTGGGACGGTGAAGTCTTCCTGCCCGCACCAATGGTTCCGCTGGATCTCAGTTACGATCATCGCGTGATCAACGGAGCGGAAGCCGCGCGGTTCCTGACATACTACGCTGGTCTTCTCAAGGATCCGAGACGCATGTTGGTCTGAAGATCGGTCAAATGAGCAAGGGTAATGAAAAGAGGCGGAAGCGATTCAACCCGCTGCACCAGCACCGCATTGAATCGCTTCCAATAACCTGATCGGCGTTCTTCCCCTGCGATACCAACTCATCGACGATGCAAAGCGCCGGATATCCCGATTTCAGTGCTGGATCTAGAATTCACACACCGATGACACACCGCCGGCTGGGTTCGGCGGACAACAGGCTCAAGCGGCGAACAGGCGCTCGATGGGCAGTTCTGCTGCCTCTTTTTCAGGGCGAGACAGATAAAATTCGGCAAGGAGTTCACCATCAGCTTCCTTCCCGGTCGCATCGATTCCCTCGTCGCTCAGCCGCGCCAAAACCTGGTCGCGTTCTTCCGTCGATGCGAAGTCGCGTTGAACGTAGGTCTGGCCTTCATATTTCTCCGTGACGTAGCCAAATCGCGAGAGAGACTCCTCGATCGTGTCAAACGGAAACATCCGCAGCACAAAATTTGCGATCCAGGGTTGGCGTCCGCGGGTGATCGTCGGCAGCAGGTGATCGAAGCTCTTTTCCGTGATGTAGCCAACGCACCCCGTCGACGTTACCAGATCGACAGCGGCCAATTCTTCTTCTGCCGATGCCGGTACCGGTTGAGCTTCCAGGTTGCAGGTCAGGCCTTTGTCCAGGAGACCTATGTCTTCTGCAAAGGAGACCGCGTTTTCTGCCACATCAAGTCCAATGACTTCAATGGCTTCAGGACCATCGAGGTTGGCGAAAAAACGCTTGTGATACTCTACGTTTTCCTTCGGCGTTTCGTCCGTAGTTCTTTTCTGACCCCAGTGTTGATAGAGCTCTGTCATCGACAAGTCGTGCTTGAGAATAGCCGAATTGACGCCATAGGAGCAGCCCAGATCCAGAAGTTTGACGGCGCCCTCCTGCCGTTGCTGCAGGTGATCGATCAGCTTTTGAAAAACCGGCTTGGCTTCGTTGGGAATTGCATAGCCGAGTTTTTTCAATTCACGAAAATAGGGCCTCGGGTCAGCCTGATCATAGATGTTGTCCATGCAGGCCTTGGCTTCATTGATCTCGTTGAAATCGGAATTGCTCGTCATCTACTCACTCCATGGATTGCCCGCAGAAACACCCTGCGACACTGCGAATGCCGCGGGTGTTCTCTGCAAATTCAGGTTTGAATTTCACTCGGCCGCGTCGGCGCGCGCGCCAAAATGAAGTGCCAGATCCTGCGCCAGGTCTGTCCGCTCCCAGCCAAATCCGCCGTCTTCATCGGGAGAGCGGCCGAAATGGCCGTAGGCTGCAGTGCGCGCATAAATCGGTTTCGACAGGCCGAGATGATCACGAATGCCGCGTGGGGTCAGACGAACCGTCTCTCGCAGGACCTTTGCAAGTTCTCTCTCGTCGACCTTTCCGGTGCCGTGCGTATCAACGTAAACGGCAACCGGGTCGGGAACACCGATTGCGTAGGCAAGCTGGATCAGGCAGCGGTCCGCCAGGTTGGCGGCAACCACGTTTTTCGCCAGGTATCGAGCGGCATATGCCGCCGACCGGTCCACTTTGGTCGGATCTTTTCCGGAAAAGCACCCCCACCGTGGGGAGCCGCGCCGCCATAGGTATCGACAATGATCTTGCGGCCCGTCAGGCCGGCATCGCCGTCAGGCCCGCCGATCACGAACCGTCCGGTCGGATTGATGAATATTCGATCCTGAGGAACGCTCCAGCCGACCGGCAGTGCATGCAGAATGAACGGCAACACCGCATCGCGAACATCATCCTGGCTGACATCTTCACCATGCTGTGTGGAGACGACGACCGCATCGATCCCGACCGGGCGACCGTTTTCGTATTTTAGCGTCAGCTGGCTTTTAGAATCCGGACCTAGACGCGTTTCTTTCCCGTTTTTTCGTGCTTCGGCCATTGAGCGCAAAATGTTATGGGACAGCAGAATTGGTGCTGGCATGAGTTCTTCGGTCTCGTTACAGGCATATCCGAACATGATGCCCTGATCGCCTGCCCCCTCTTCACCCTTACTGCCTTCATCCACGCCCATGGCAATGTCTGCGGATTGCTGGTGCAATCTGTTGACGACTTCCAGCGTCTGCCAGTGAAATCCGTCCTGCTCGTAACCGATGTCCCGGACCGCATCTCGTACAAGCTGCTCAACGTCCTTCAACACGTTTTCAGGTCCGCGCACCTCGCCGGCTACCGTCACGTGATTTGTCGTCGTCAGTGTCTCGCAGGCGACGCGGGCATGCGGATCAGCGGCGAGAAACGCATCAAGAATAGTATCGGAAATACGGTCGCATACTTTGTCGGGATGACCTTCTGACACGGATTCACTGGTAAAAAGCCATGTTCTACTGCTCATTAGTCTTCCTTTTTCAGTTTAAAAGTACCTGTGAAAGGCAATGGTTCAGGCGCAATACGGCTCACGTCCCGGAACGTTGTCCGTTCCGGAGCCAAAGAGACCTGATTGCGAAAAACCTGTTGCTCCGAACGCACGAACCCGACCCAATCGAGAAAGACCCGAACGGCTCTTCTGGAATTCCTCGCTGGATGCGCTTGCGATTACCGGTGGGTGCAAACCAGGTGGACTGTTTGCGTAACCCGGAATAAAGGCGCTCTTTACTTTCGTGTCATGCGATGCGTTCAACAAATTTCATTCGGATTTCGTCGACGATTGCCCTGGCTGCGTGGCCCCGATCTCCTATTTTGAAATCCGAATGTACGGCGCAGTGCAAGACGCATACGCGTTGGCAAACCGCCTGCGTGGCAGGTGGCTTCAAACGGATCTTTTCAGCATTGCGTCCGGCCAGAAGTGCATGGCAAATGCACGGAGTGGAAAGATGCCCTGAGATAGGGCCATAGCCGGACCTGGAGGCACGATGCGCACATAGGCAGAGCAGGAGGCCCCGGCCAGCTGCGGCGAGAGATTCAATCTCTGTACTTGCAGCTTTCAGTTCGCACGCATCTTGGCGCCAAATTCTGCGCGGACATTAACAAGCTGAGGGTGCATTGCAACAGCCGCCCCTCAACTTATGCTGACAAAATTGACAATTCTGCACGTAACCATATGAAAAGAATAACATAATTTTTTTAAGAAACTTTTGTTCGAACCGCAAAACGTCAAACAACAACCCCAAATGGCGTAACTCCGTGTCGGCGAATAGGCCAGGAAATCATGATCTGCGCAAACCAACTTCGACTGATTTCCAGGATAACCGTCCAGACGGTTTCCGACCCATACCTGGCGCTTATCTGATCGGTGCCTGCTGTGTCGCAGCTTCCTCAATCCAGTCATTGGCCATCAGTCGTTGTGGACCTCATTGAGGTCGAAATTTTCGGGTCGGGTCCTCTGAAACGCTCCTGAATGTCGCATTCGTAGGATATGAGATCTGCCGCAATGTTTATCGTGCAGGCGAAACTTCATCGAATGGCAGGACATGACATCTCCAACCCCTCCCACGTCCGCAGCGGATGCTCACAAATATGGTGTGCTTTTCGTCTTTGCGGCAGGGGTTCTGTGGTCAACGGTCGGTCTTGGCATTCGCATGATGGAAGAAGCCGTCGTCTGGCAAATTTTGCTCTACCGGTCAATCAGCATGTCGCTGTTTCTCTACGTGGTCATTCGGGTGCGGTCGGGCGAAAGCCCCTTTGTCCAGGTTCGCCGCCTCGGCTTTCCTTCAGTTATCGCCGGTCTTTCACTGGTTGCAGCCTACTCCGGTGGGATCTACTCGATCCAGAATACCTCGGTCGCGAACGCAATGCTGCTTTTTGCAACGGCACCCTTCATGGCTGCGGTCCTGGGCTGGATAGTCTTGCGTGAGCCTGTGCGCGTGGCAACCTGGGTTGCAATCGCCGTTGCCATTGGCGGGATCGCAATCATGGTTGCCGACCAGTCAGGCAGCATCGTCCTGAAAGGCAGCCTTGCCGCGCTCGGGTCCGCATTTGGCTTCGCTGTCTTCACCGTGGCCTTGCGATGGGGACGAACCGGCGAAATGCTCCCATCTGTGTTCCTGTCAGGTCTGTTCGCTGCCTTCGTCACATATGGAATTTGCCAATTGTCGGGGCTGTCTGTCTCTCTCGGCATTCGCGACGGCGCAATATCCATGGGCATGGGCGTTTTCCAGGTCGGGGCCGGATTGATCCTCTACACGCTTGGATCGCGTAGCCTCCCCGCGGCAGAGCTTGCCCTGCTCTCACTTGCCGAGGTTTTGCTTGGCCCGGTTTGGGTCTGGCTTTTCCTTGGTGAGACAGCAAGCCCGAACACGCTGATTGGCGGTACCGTGCTGCTTGCCGCGATTGCCGGAAACGCAATCTCCGGCAAGCGTCGCAAACCTCCGCCAATCATTGCACCTTAGGGTGACCGTGAACGCATCTAACGATGGATGAGTGGTCCAGTTTGATGGCGTCAACGCTACCATGCAATCTGGCCAAGAACTCTTTTGGCGATATGATTTTGCCAGATATCCTAGCTGACCAGTTGCTCTGCAAACCGAGTTGCAGCGGCAACTCCGTCGATAACAGGAATTTCGAATTGTCTTGAAAGGTCTGCGGCAAGATCAGCCATGCCCGCGCAACCGAGAGCAATTGCACCAACGTCATCTTCCTTGATCGCCAGATTGATTTCCGCTTCAATCCGATGACGCGCCGGGCTTTCAGGGTCTTCCAGCTCCAAGACAGGTACATTGGAAGCACGAACCTTTGCGCACCGCCTGGCAAGGCCGATGAGATCGAGGTTCTTTTCCAGAACCGGCACGGAAACCGGTAGTGTCGTGACAACGGAAAACCGCTCTGCATACAGGCTGGCAGCATGATAGGCCGCTTCGCCGATACCTAGGACAGGTACCGGGCTCTTGCGCTTCAATTCCCAAAGCCCGGTGTCGTCAAAACAGGCGATGATGACGGCGTCGACGCCGCGATGTTCAAGAACATGGTCTTCGAACGTTTTGAAAAGACCCGGCAGTGCATTCCTGCCGTCCTCAGCCCCTTGAATTGCCGAGGGACCGGTCGCGGGATTGACCGCCGTGATTTTCACAGCAGGTCCGGCCGCATGTCGGGCAGCCGCGCCGATTTTTTGCGTCATGGAACTGGTCGTATTCGGATTGATCAGCAGAATGTGCTTTTGCACCATCTTGTCAGCTCTCCTAAACCAGTCCCTGGCCGGCGTCCGAACCATGGCGGGTCTGACGTTTCTTCATCAGCAAAAGGATCAGCAAGAAAACGGCAATCACCCCGAACGAGAAGGCGGTCGTGAGCGTGCCGAGCGCGAAAATCACCGGCGTCGTCACGTTGGTCGTCATGCCGTATATTTCCAGGGGCAACGTATTGTAGCTGCCTGCGGTCAACAGCGTTCTCGCGAATTCGTCATAGGAAAGGGTGAAGCCGAACAGAGCCACCCCGATCAGCATCGGCGCGATGATCGGCAAGACAACGTGCCGGACCGTCTGCCAGGCACTTGCTCCCTGATCCCGCGCGGCTTCTTCATAGGACTTGTCGAAGCGGTTGAAGACCGCGAACATGATCAGAAGTCCGAAGGGCAACGTCCATGTCAGTTGCGCCCCAAATCCGGATGTCGACCAATGCACCGGCAGGCCGGATTGGGAGAAGATCAGCCCCACACCCAGTGAAACCAGGATTGACGGGATCACCAGAGATGTGATGATCAGGTAGAAGATCACGCTGCTGCCGGGAAATTTCTTGCGGAAGGCAAAACCGCCCATCACCGACACGACAACCGTTGTGGTCATCACCATCAGGCCAAGGACAAGCGATCGGCTGAAACTGCCCCAGATATCGCCGACGGCCTGTTGCTCGAACAGTTCGCCGAACCAATGGAACGATGTCCCGCGCATTGGAAAAGTCAGACCGCCTTGCGGCCCCTGGAAGGACAAGATCGCGATGGTGATTGTCGGTCCGTAGAGAAACAGCAGGAACAGCGCAAAGAACGTTGCGAGGACGTAGAAGGACCGCGGTCGTTTTTCCATGGTCAGAGCTCCTTCCGGATGTCAACAAAGCGCAACAGGGTGGCAATGACGATCAGGACTGTAATCAGCAGGATGACCGCCGTTGCGGCCGCTGACGGGTACTGCAGAAGCGCAATGTCATTGGAAATCAGCCGGCCTACATTTGCTTTCTGGCTGCCGGACATGAATCGCACTGTGATGAAGTCGCCCATGACGAGTGTGATCACGAAGATCGACCCGATCATGATCCCCGGCTTCGTGAGCGGGAGAACGACATTGGTGAGGGTTTGAAATCCGCTCGCACCGGCATCATAGGCCGCCTCGATCAAAGACCTGTCGATGCGCATCATCGTGTTGAAAATCGGTACGACCATGAACAATGTGTAGAGATGCACGAACGCCAGAATTACCGAGAAATCGGAAAACAGCAGCCAGTCGAGCGGTTCGTCAACCACACCCAGTGAAATCAGCGTCGAATTGGCAATTCCATTGCGACCCAGGAAGGGAATCCAGGAAATCATCCGGATGATGTTGGAGGTCCAGAAAGGGATCGTGCAGAGTAGAAACAGGACAATCTGCCAGGTCAGAGACCTCACATGAAAAGCCAGGAAATAGGCGATGGTGAAACCGATCCCCAGCGTCAACGCCCAGGTGATCAAGGCGTATTTCACCGTGTTCAAGAAGACAGAATAGGTAACTGGAGACGTCAGCAGGAATTCATAATTGTCGAACACGAATGCCGGGTAGATCGAGAATTCCGTGGCACCCCAGAAACTGACCACCACGATCATGATGATCGGCAGCACCAGGAAGAACGCGAGAACACCGGCCATCGGCAGAGACATGAGCCACCCGGACACGGCATCCGACACCGGTTTTCGGACTTTTGCAGATACACCCGGTTGCAGGCGTGTTTCTTCCTTGCGATCAGTATCGTTTGAAACGGTCAAATCAGTCATGAACGGGAGTGCCCAATGGTTTAGGAAACGTCCAGAGCGAGGCCCTGGACGCCAGTTTCTTGCGATACTTCAAGCGGCGATAAATTCGTTCCACTTGCGAACCATGTACTGGTTCTCGTCCATGACGGCGTTCCAGCACGCCACGGCGCCCATTCGCTCAAGGAAAGCCCCGCCATCGCGGGTGTCACCGGCCTTTGCCAGCACATCTCCGAACGGGCTGGTGATATCGCCGGTTGCTTCCTTGCCTTCGAACCAGTAGCCCCACTCGTTCTCGGACATGAAATTCTTGGAGGTTTCCGGAACGGCCGAATAGTAGCCCTGACGCATCAGGAAGCCGCCAACCCAGCCATCGAGATACCAGTTGATGTATTCATAGGCGGCTTCCAGCTCGAGACCGGACAAGCTCTTGGATAGGCCAATACCGCCGCCCCAGGAGCGATAACCTTCCTTGAGTGGCTGATAGACGCACGGAATACCGCGGGACTTCACCGCGGTAATGGCCGGTGACCACATGGACTGGATGATCACTTCCCCGGAAGCCATCAGGTTGACGCTTTCATCGAAGGTCTTCCAGAAGGCGCGGAACTGGCCGTTTTTCTTGGCTTCGGTGAAGATCGCCATGGTCTTGTCGATCTCTTCACGGGTCATGTTGCCCTTGTCGCCATACTGGACTTCCCCCATGGCTTCACACACCATCGCCGCATCCATGATACCGATGGACGAGATGTCGAGGATCGAAGCCTTTCCCTTGAACTCCGGGTTGAGCAGTTCCGTCCAGCTTTCGATCGGACGGCCGATCAGGTCCGGACGAATGCCCAAGGTGTCGGCGTTGTAGATCGTCGGGATCAGCGTCATCCAGCCAGTTTCTTCAGTCGCAAAACTCTTGCTGTCGGGTCCGTCAACAAAACCGACAGTGTGTGGCGCCGTTCCCTGTGCAATGTCCGACTCCGGCGTCAGCTTGCCACTTTTGAAAATGCCCACGATCTTGTCGTAATTCTTGATTTTGGACGTATCCATCGGCTGCAGGTTGCCAGTCGGCCAAACCTTTTTGCAGATCCAGTATTCGATGTCGGCAATATCGAAACTGTCCGGCTGTGTGGCCGCGCGCTGTGTCACGGCATCAGAATCCAGGGCCGTCATTTCAAGATTGAAACCGAGATCTTCCTTTACCTTCTGCGCAACCTCATTGAGGTTCGAGACGCCCGTTCCGAATTGGCGAAGGGTCACATCCTTGATGTTTTGCGCCCAGATGGTCGGAAACCCGGAAACGGCACCCGAACCGATCGCCGCGCCAGTTGCTGCCGCGCCGCCTTTCAATATGCTCCGCCGGCTAAAACCTTTTTTGCTCACTGTTTTCTCAATCACTTTCAACTCCTGTTCCCCGTGGAAGGTGTCTTGAGCCCCTTGGGTGGGCTGTTTCTGGCGGCGATTACCCCGCCAAGTGGTGGGCATCTTCCGGCTTCCAGCTGAGGAAGACGGTTGAGCCGATCTCGATTGGGTCTTGAAAGAAAAGCCCGTCGGGCAGAGCTGCTGTCAGGTCACTGCCAGCTCCGGTCTCCAGGGCGAGATTGACAGTCGCGCCGAGATATTCGACATCCCGCACCGTGGCAGCGAGGCTGTCGCCGCTCTCCGCCCCGGTCTTTGCGACCTGCAACCGGTCAGTCCGTAGCGCAAAAGGTGCTCCACGGCTTTCCAGGATGTTGTGACCGCCAATGAAACGCGCGACGAACTCCGTCGCGGGACTTTCAAAGACATCCCTCGGAGATCCGGCCTGTTCGATCCGGCCGTTGTTCATGACGATGATGTCGTCGGCGAGCGCAAGCGCTTCGTCCTGGCTGTGGGTCACGTGAATGAACGATATGTCGAGTTCCCGCTGAAGCCTTTTCAGCTCCAGACGCATCTTTATGCGCAAGAAGGGATCAAGCGCCGACAATGGCTCATCAAGCAGAAGAACCGAAGGTTCCGTGATCAAGGCCCGCGCCAGGGCAACCCGCTGCTGTTGCCCGCCGGACAGCTGTTCGGGCAGGCGCGCCGCAAACGCGGCCATATCGACAAGCTCGAGCAACTCGCGCGCCTTCTTCAGGCGTGAAGATTTGTCGACACCTTTCATTTTCTGGGAAAAGGCGACGTTGTCTATGACACTCAAATGTGGAAACAACGCATAGCTTTGGAACATCATTGCCGTGCCGCGGCGGGCCGGTGGCAAGTCGGTGACATTGGATGCACCCAGGAGAATGTCGCCCTCCGACACCACTTCGTGACCGGCGATCATGCGAAGGGTCGAAGACTTGCCACACCCCGAAGGACCAAGCAGGCAGGAATAGGACCCGGCCTGGAAGCGATGCGAGATGGCCTCAACGGCAACCGTCGTCCCATATTTCTTGGTAACGGCAGCGAGTTCGAGATCAAGGGACTTCGCCATTGATGGTGTCTCTCCGAAAGAATTCAATTCCATCGGAATGAGCAATGTCCATGCCAAATATGTTAAGCATTTGTTTTAAAATGAATTATTGTATTTCATCGGCATTTCCGGAACGCCCAACGCCCAACAACTCGCACGATTTTTAATCTGATTGAGTACGTTTTAATCACTAATCGTATACAATATATGTTTGCCGCATCAGGCATCCCCGACTATCATCCTGCAAACACCAGCCCGATAGTTCTCAGCAAAGATGCCCAAACCTATCTCATCTTCAAAGTCCGGCTCGGCCAGATCCCTGCACGAGGTTTTTGCCTTGCCCGCAGGCCGCGCCCTCGACATCTGTCTGAGACTGCAGACAGCAATTTTGGAGCACCGTCTCGCTCCGGGTGTGAAACTTTCCGAAGATGAGGTCGGGGAAATCTATGGCGCCAGCCGCACAGTGGTCCGTGCAGCCCTTCAAGCGCTTGCCCATTCGGGCCTGGTAACAATCGAAAAGAATCGCGGCGCATTTGTCGCCAAACCAACGATCCGGGAGGCGCATGAAGTCTTTCAGGCCCGTGCGCTCATTGAACCTGCCGTGGCCCGCCTTGCAGCTGAATCCATCACCGAAGACGATCTTTCCCGACTTCACAAGCACCTCGAAGCAGAGCACGATGCGCTCCACGCGAGCGACATGGGTCGGGCACTCGCCCTTTCAGGAAGTTTTCACACTGAAATCGCGGAGATTGCGGATCACCGGGTCTTTTCCAGCATGGTGCGGTCGCTGATCTCCAGATCCTCGCTCATCATCGCACTCTACTGGAAGCGGTCCGACACGGCCTGCGAAAGCCATTCGCATCACGCGCTTCTGGATGCGCTGAAAAACCGGGATGGCAGCGCGGCTGAAGAGATCCAGAAGAGCCACATCATCGATCTGCACTCAGGTCTGGATCTGAAGGAAAAACAATCTTTCAAATCCTCCCTCGCAGAAGCCCTGGCCTGACAATTGAACGCATCATCCCCGGCAAGCCAGGTGCGCCTCAACGAAAAGGCCCCCTCATTGACACCGGCTTCGAGCCCTTGAACCGCCAAAGCCATAAATCTGATTTCGATTCCAAAAAGCAGTCATTCCTGCAACCCGCTGCATAATTCTGCCTCCAGCCAATACGGACATTCGGAACGGCTGTCGCCAATGCCCGGCAAGAGCCCGCGCGGCAACTATCCAGGCTTTTTCTGAATGTCCGGAGACCGGACGGGTGAGCTGAATGCGTGGGCGATTTCCCGCTGACCGGCCCTCTCGTTGCCTAACACTGTGCTGGGCCATTCCGTGCGACCGCAGTATCACCCAACCACCCTGGAAGTGGTGGGATCATCTCAGATGGACGAAAAAATGAGACGTGTCGGGTGGGTTTTCTACAGTCATTGGTCATTTCAGGCAGAACATTCGCACACAGGCCTGGCGCCAACCGCACCCGACGAAAGCGACCTCTGGATGTGCGGGCCCGACAGCAACCGGGATCCAATGATCATTCGAACCTGCAATGGATCGTCCTGGACCGGTGCCGGTTTTCATTCCGATCCGACAAGTGCCCAGACGGCATTTGACAACGCGGAGCAGCATTTTTCATCTCTGCCTGCCAATACCGAGGCGTTGTATGCCAACCTGCGACCAATCCGACTTGCTGCGCATATTGGACTTCACTGCCAAGATTGATGAGGTCCGTGCTTGGTATGACACGCTTAACGGCAGCCTGATCAACGGCAACTTTCAGCACCGACTTGCCGATATTGATGGAATGACGTTCTCCATATGGAAGACCGACGCTGCCATGCGGAAGGCGGCCTATGGGGATGGCACACATTGAACCTGTCTCGACGTGCAAAAAATCCGACAAACTTGCTGACCGTACATGCTATTTGCGCAATCGCGTGATGGCGAGCAAAGGCACGTGGCGCGGTGTAGATCCGGTAGAACTGACCAGATAGCGATCATTTCGACCGCCTGGTGTGACCCGGAACGAAGTTGAGGTGACGCACCCAGTTGCCGGATCGAGGAATTGACCCTCGTTGTATGGCGGGTCAGGAGTCCAGACGCAGCGACCTGAGAGATTTCGAGAGGATCCGGCACAACGAATTCTCGATGGGGGTCTGGTTGCTGCGGCCCGGGATCAGGATGCCGATCCTGAGATCCTTCAGAAAACTGGACTTGAGAGAGATGTAACGCAACTTCCCGGCTTCAATTTCATTCAGGAACCCGATTTTCGAATAAAGGCCAACGCCATGCCCGCTCAGGATCATTGATCGGGCGAGCGGAAGAGAATTCGTGAAGCAGGCCGTTTTCAACGGGACCTTGTCGTCGGAAAGTGCGAGATTCACGAGCGAGCGCTCCGTAAGCGCATCATAGGAGCGAATGAGCGAAAACGGTGTCAGATCCTCGATATCCAGTGCGTCGCGTTCTGCAAGGGGATGGTTCTTGTTGAGGATCGCCCCGATGGGAGCTGATTTCTCCGTGCGCAGCCTTACGCCCGGGTGAAGGTCGTTACAGAAGGAAACGCCGATCCCGGCATCCCCTTCGGCGACCGCACGAACGATTTCGTCCGGTTGCGCCGTCCTGATTGTATAGGTGATGTCCGGATATTCACGGGCAAACTGGTCGATGACCGAGGGCAGAAGGCTCAAAGCAACGGAATCCAGTGACGCAATGTCAATGTGACCGGCACGCATCTCCCGAATGTCAGCGACAAGATGAAGTATCTTTTCGTAATCGAAAATCGTCTTCCTGCAATGTTCAAGGACAACGGCGCCTGCTGCCGTGAGTTCGACACCTTCCGCATGGCGGTCGAAGAGCCTTACGCCCAACTGCTGCTCGATGTCGAGAATCTTACGGTTCACCGATGACGAAGACACATGCAGGACCGAGGCGGCGCGCCGGATCGAACCCTGCCGGGCAACCTCATCAAAATAGTTCAGGAACTTGCTGTGCATCCGGTTCAATCCTCAGGCGATGCAAAAAAGGCATCGCTATGTGCAAAACTAAATTCTATCCGCAGCACCCGGCACGCGTCTAGGCTGAAAGGAATAGGGAGATACAAAAAAAATCACCTACCAGGAGACGGACACATGACAAATTGGGGACTTAATCGCCGGCATCTTCTTCAGGGCTTCGGCGCGGCCGCCGGTCTGGCGACAACAGGTACATTCTTTTCGATCGAACCGGCAAAGGCTGCTGACTTCAAGATCAAGATGCAGCTCGGCTGGCTTGCCTCGAACGGCATCCTTGGCGAGGTCATGGCCGACAAGCTCGGCTACTTTGCCGACGAAGGCCTGGAGTTGGAGATTATTCCGGGCGGACCGAATATCGACGGCGTGGCGTCGGTTGCATCGGGCGCAAACAATTTCGGTTCGATTTCATCGTCACCTTCACTGATGCTGGCGAGATCCGCAGGTCTGCCGATCAAATGTGTTGCAGCCGGTTATCAGCAGCATCCGTTCACCTACTTTTCCATGGAAAGCAATCCGGTACGCAAACCGGAGGATCTGATCGGCAAGAAAGTCGCCACACAGGGCACAGCCAGAATTCTGCTTCGCGCACTTCTGGCCAAGAACGGCATCGAAGAGGACCAGGTCGAAGTATCGGTCATGGGTGGTGACATGGCACCGTTGAAGGTTGGTCAGGTCGATGTGGCAACAGGCTGGCAGACCAATGTCGGTGCGCTGTCCGTTCTCGGGGACGAGCGGGTCGACATGAAACTCTGGGACGCCGGAATACAGCTCTATGCCAATCCCTACTACACGACGGACGACGTTCTTCAGGAACATAGCGACAAGGTAATCGGTGCGATCCGCGCGATATCCAAGGGCTGGGGTGCCGTCTACGAAAACCCGACCGCCGGTGTCGACGCACTGGTCGAACGATACCCGAACCTCGACAAGGACAGTGAAATGAAAGCTGTCGACCTGGTTCTGGGCTTCTCGTTCAACGACAAGACCAAGGCCGGTGGCTGGGGCATCATGACCACGGAGAACTGGCAGGAGCAGATCGACACCTATAACAGCCTTGAACAGTTCACCGGTGGAGCGCCGAAGGTCTCCGACATCATGACGCTGGACATTCTCGAGGCGACCAAAGATGCCCGTCCAACGTTTGGCTGATATTGCGGACGAAGGTCCACATCAGGACATGGCAAGCCGCAATGTTGCGGCCTGCCTGTCCGGGGCATCGGTGAAGTTCGGAAGCTTCACCGCACTTGAAGACATCAGCCTGGAAATCGGCGAAGGCGAATTCTGGACGATATTGGGACCATCGGGCTGCGGCAAATCCACTATGTTACGGTTGGTATCCGACCTTGTTCCTGCCGCAACGGGAAACGTTGAAATCCTGGGCAAGACAACGCAAGCAGCCCGTCTCGCACGCGAATTCGCGTTCGTCTTTCAAGACGCGACCCTGTTGCCCTGGCGCAGTGCCCTGAAGAACGTGGAACTGCCGCTGGAGATGGGCCGCAAACGGGGTCTGAAAATCCCGATGTCGGA